AAAAATTCTTTAATAAAGAGATAAATTCCTGGCTAAATGATGATTGCGAATAATCTAATTTAAAGGCATGAAATACATAAGAGAAGAAATAAGTCAAATTTGTTGCAAAGTATCAAGACTTTGCGTGGGTAGGATGTTAACATTAAGAGTTACTGAAGTTTATTTATTATAAATGATATTCCAGTAACAATCCCCAAGGAACAATGGTAGAATTTTTAGATGATAAGATCCTGTTATCTGAAAGGTCTAGCTATATGCTGTACTCGAGTATTTTCCCTTTAGAATAAGTAACGTTTTAAGCCAGTTAAGTCAGTTTTTAAAAATATCTTCAATCATAACATCCTGCTACTTAGGCAGGTAAAGCTTAATTTATTAAACTGCAATTAATCGTTTGCTGTCAAGAAGAAATACTTTTCTGAAACATGCAACATAACATATAACTGCAACTCTAGCTCCTTTTTCTTCTCCTTTCCCCCTTCCCCCCCAAAACATTTATGACTTTGTGTAAAAATTTATTAATCGTCGCTGACTAAGAACAGCAGTTCTCAACCTTTTGATTAACACCCACCATCTAAACAAAAACTGAAAAACCTTAATACCACCACTTACATTTTACAATGATTTTTTTTAATTTCTGAAGAAAACTATTTAAAAAAATCTCAAAGTTTACAGACTTTATATTACGCCCAAAGGGACTTTTTTTAAAATTTTTATGTGTTACCTTTATTTATTAAATATCATGTTCTTCGCACTTAAACCATAAAATTCAATTCAACAGCAATATCGCAAAATAATGAGCATATCTTTTTTTTTTTTTTTTTTTTTTTTTTTTTTGTACAGTGTTGCTATGCTCGTTTTGAAATCGTTGAGTTTGTTAATCAAAAATTCGCTAAAGTGTTACAAAATATGAAATCGATGATAAAATAAATTCGAAATTAGGGTTTCCAGATGCCCATATTTGGTGGAGGACTGCGTTATTTAAAATTTGATGGCTCTATGTACCGTTGTTTTATCACAGTTCGAGAAACATAAACTTATGCAGATTATTCCTTACATAATTTATTTAAATGTAATACAGGGCGATAATATTTGATGGCAACAATTTGAAAAGTGAAATGGACATTTAAGTTTTCAACGCAAAATGTCAAAATGAAGTTAATAGCTCTTCTGGGCTAACGCTCTTCGGGTTAAAAAGAAAGAAAGGAAATATGAATGCTTTCAAATTTTATATTACGTTTTTAACGTTTGGTCTTTATTTATTAAATATCATGTTCTTCACCCTTAAAACACATAAAATTCAATTCAACAATAATATCACAAAATATTTAAAAACAGCAGAAAAGCATACCAGCAATTCCGATATACAGTCTCGCGTGCTGGAGATTAACTTTTTTTTTTCTGTACAGTGTTGCCATTCCTCGATTCGAAATCGTTGAGTTTTTTAATCAAAAATTCGTTAAAGTTTTGCATGATTTATAATAAATAATAAAACAAATTCGAAATTCAAAATTCGGGCTTCCGAGTGGCCATGTTCGGTTGGAAGACAACGGTATTAAAACTAAGGAATGCAAAGCAACAAGAAGACAAAATTCCTACTGTTAGAGATAGCAAACCGAAGTAAAAATGATTCTTATTGAAAATGGAGCAATATGAGGCCGTAAATGGTGTTATAAAGTGCTGACATGCTAATAAATAGATAAACTCTAAGATGATTAATGAAATACTATTATCTTTTTTTGTAGAAACTTATTTTTATTTCCTATTAAATACAGCATCCATTTGTATCACTCCTTTTAAAAACATCATTTATGGCAAATTTTGTAATGCCTCCGACTAAAAGAATATTTGTGAAACGTACAACATGGAAGAATCACGAAAATTGCCATGCAGACATCTCGTTCGTCTCTTGCTAAAGTCTATAAGCGGCTATTGACCTTGAACAAAGCTCAGATCGCATAAATTTACGAGTGTTAGAGAAAAAAACTCAGTCAGGATGTTGTAGTTTTAATCTTTGAATTTAATAGTTAAAAATACTTTGCTTCTTTGCGTACCACCTATTTTTATCTTGCGTACCACCAGTGGTACGCGTACTACCGGTTGAGAACTCCTGCTCTAGAGTGTTTACTTTCGTGCGGATCATTATTGCTTATAAGTGTAATACTCTGTTACAAATTCCACAATTTTGTATTTTTTAACATTGCTATTACAAGAGATGTTTTTTAAGTATTATAATATGATTCAGGATTTATTATGATTCAGGAAAACAATTTATGCAATAATTTATTTCTCTTCATTTAATGCCCAGCAATTTTATATGCTGGGAAGTAATTGAAGAATGTTTGAATAATCAACTGGTCTAAGTCTAGTTAAATTATTTGTTTCTTAAAAGCTCCTGACTGTAAAATAAATTTCAATGATGAATTTGTGGGTATGATAGTGCGTACTGAAGAGAGCGGAGTTTTGTAACTTTGATATGTTGGAAAGCTACAGATGATAAAGTAAAATTAAATTACATGTGATAAATCGAATTATTATGATTTTGCATCTTGAAGATAAATTTCTTTTATAACTTTGATATGTTGGAGATACAGAATACTTCTAATCTCTGGCATACCAAATGTCAGACATTTTTTGTGAAATGAATAATCATGCTGTGCATTGCTCAAAAATATAATTTTATTCTCAAATAACTTATTGTTAATTTAGATTTATATATTAATATCTTTAGATAAATATGTATTAAAAATATCACAAATGATATATATATATAATATATGAACGCAGAATAGTTCATATAAAACGGTAATAGTCTTAAAACGTAGCATGACATAATATTAGAAGGCTGCTAAAATTTCTGGATAAAAAGGGGCGATTTAGACATGTTTCGAAACGGAAACTAATCTAATTTTTAATTTTAACTTTCTTTCTATCATCATTTATATATTTTTCTTCTTTGTTAATAAACCCAGAAGAAAACATTGACACATATTTTGTATTGAAATGAATAATGAAGAAAAATTCAAATTCTACTTATGATAGAGAAATCCATTTAAGTGCTGAAGATTTGGATTGCTTCGAAATGAAATATCTTGTAGCAATGGCGTCACAAAGTGTGCTTAAATAAGTTTAATTGCAGCTAAAACTACTAGTAGCAACTCAGTTCAATCTAGAAATGCCAGGGATGTAGATTTAGAATTAAATATAACTCATGCGAAAATGAATTTCAAGTAGACTTCATCAAAGTTAGATTCAACAGCAAATTATCAGTCGGTTGTGTAATTACTTACGCTAAAATATACGAAGTTTATAATCTCGAGGGCGTAATAAACAAGTTAAATATTGTTTATTTATTTAAAACTTGGCTTTGGTTCTCATTTAGTTTCTGATGCATACATTCATTAATTTACTGCATAATTTATTGCTAACTGATATTAGTCATAACTCTTCAGTAGTTTTCCATATCTTTAGAAAATTCTCAGTAACTCAAAAACCAAGGTCAAGTTATTTTCATTTCATTTTATTTAAGAAAAAGAGCATTTCTAACGGTTCCCCCCATTTTGTATTTTCAAAATCCGTTGTCGAGTTGATTCTTTAGGCAATCATAATTACTTTGTAAGGTTTATTTTAATTTTATAACAGTTATTTTTAAGTTTGAAAACTTTTTCTTTAAATTCCTGTTTCCCACTTACAACTTCGTACCAGAATGAGGTTTCAGGATCGCGTTGTATGTAAATGAGGTAGAAGGAGTATTTTAAGGAGGGTTCAGCTCACACCTGTAGGAGAGATTAGGAGTTCTTAGTGGCGCGTGTTTGCCGTCAGGTTACTTCGTTATTTAAGTCAACTACATTTGGCCATATTGTACATGCCTATTGAGAATCACAGACTGATTTAATTAAGGGACAACTACATTAGGTTGTAAGGATTATGTTAGTTTTATTAACAGTTAAATTTTGAGTTAAACGTCCTTCCTATCGATACTTAATTTCAACTTACCACTTCCGGCCAGAACGTAGTTTTAGAATCATATCAGAATGCTAATGAGGAAGAGCGGTATTTAACAGCGAAGTTCTTCTGTCTTAGTGAGAGAGATACCGGATATTCTGGCTGCACGCGTCCGCCTTTTAGGCTATTCTCTCGTAAGCTATTATTACTCTCATCCGTACTTTAGGCCCTTGATAGCTTCGCAGTCTATTAACGTTAAGGGGCCAACTCTATTAGAACTTTGATAGCTTCGGCTATATCTCTTTAATTCAGATTAGTTTAGTTTGATTCTTAGTCTATTAAGTTCAAGCCCAAGTGTCGGTTTTATTGTACAACTCCAAGACGGAGTTCTGTTAAATCTTGATTGGAATAATAACGGATTATTTTACCCTTCTATCTTGTTGTTTCCTGTCACATGAATTCAAGCGATTATTCGCTTATCAGTTCTTAAGATTCTTCGCTTTCAACGGTAACTTAGAATTACACAGTGAAGAATCCTACAAGGTAATTGTGCCTAGTTTCGGCTAAGTCAGTTTGGTTTAGTATTAGGTTAGTTTCTTAGTTTCTTATCTTGATTTAAAATCTGAGTGGAGGCTTTCCTGTAAGCCCGAGAAAGGGACATCTGTTATTATTTCTTTGAGTGAATAAAAGGGTATTTTAAACCTTCTCTGAACTTTCCGTTAAATACTTGAATTCAGCGATAAGTCGCAGTGCAGTTCAATAGATTCCTCTACGTTCAGCATAGACCAAGCAGTTAGGGACATTATTATTTAATTTCAGATTTTTCACAATGCTAAATACCTATATGGGACACAAGCTGGGTTTTTTATTTCTACAGAACAGTAGAAAATATATTTTTGATCTATATTTACTTCTCAGGCGGCCTCAAGCATTTAAAGCATTTAAAATAAGTATTGAAGTATTCAAAATGCATACTAAATTTTTCATCTGCGTGCTAACTGGCATGTAGCATGTAGATACGAAATTTGAAGAATATAAACATTTATTTTTACACTTACCACCATCCAAGGTCCATAAAGTTCGCTGTCCATGAACCCATGAACAATGAACTTGATAGGGTTCTTCGGGTCCAGAGGTGAGCCTGTTATAGTTTCTGGTTCACTTGCTACAAGCTGGTGAGCTTCTTTAGGATTCCTTCTGGTGTAAAGGAGGCATCTGGTATTAATGGTAGCTCTGTCATGGGGTAGAACATTTATGGGTCTGTGCAGCAGACTTTTGAAATCATCAGTTATTGAGAAGCAGCCGAGTTCTTTCATGCAAACTTCTTTTCCTGAAATATTTAATCATGAATAAGCAAGATTTAATTAGTTTTAATAACTATTCGTAATATTAGATACTGTAAAATTCAATACGTAGATGGGTAATCTTTTCACATAAGAAAGAGAGACAATCTGTTTTCTCACAAATGCCAAATAAGGCATCTTAATAAGAAAAAAAAAGCTCTATCTAATGATATATATGCAGAATATTATAAAAATGCACTTAGTTCTATTGTAGCATGTAGCTCTTTTTGCCGTATTTAATTTGAAGGCAATCATGGGAAAGTAAATTATGGGAAAATTTGTATTCTGAAAGAATCTACTCGAATTCGAATTGTACATTTGAGTGCAGTTCTTGATAGTTAATGGATTCTGTTTGCAGAAGGAGGTTTCATTATTATTAATCTAAGAGGCGCATTATCTTCAGAAATGATCAACATGTTTAAGTAAAAGGAATTTAAAGTCAATAAGAAATATTATATTACTTTAAATTTCCTTAAACTCTCATGCATTGACTTAAGTACAACAGCTATATGATCTAATATAATGCTAATCCCATGTAATCTAAATATTTTCATGATCAGTCCAAAATCATCATTATCGAAATTAGTTGTAATCTCTGGCGTTCTAAATCCATTTCCATATTTAGCGCATTTGAGTTATGCAATACAGTAACCTTAAAAATGGTTTGAAGGCATAATAATCATAATTTATTTGATTATAGCAAAGCACTCAAGGGCTGGCTGCGTAAGAGGACGGATGCCTTCTTGGAGGATTTTCAGAGGGGAAAAAGCTCGTATATACGTTATATATGCGGAAATCGCGAAAATGCCCATGCAGCCAACCGGTTCTCGGTATTTGAACTTCGAACCAAATTGCTAGTGTTTAACGATTTTACCACTGGTCCGCTGATGGGCTCCTTAAAAAAGAAATTTCGTAAGAAAAAATTAATGAGCCAAGTAACTTTCAATAGCATTTTGGCTGAACGTTAGCAGTATTTTGAGACACTGAGAGCTCGAAGTTTCCTAACAATTCAGTTGCTGACAGTTCAGATAGGCATATTTATATTTTTCTTTCTAGATCATATTTCTCTTTCATGCCAAAGGGTACATAACCAGATTAGAAAATTTAATTGTAGAATGATATTGTTGTCAAAGATGTAGTTTGATATGAAAGCTAGATATTCATAGTAATATGTGAGCGAAAAACCTAACTTGTTAAATGTTATTAATACAAATATGAGTTTCCAAATCACTATCACTTTGGGCTATGGACTGACATATAAGTTCTGAAAAGTTATTTATAAGTTTAACATGGTGCTTCAAACGATTACGCAATTAAACATCGCTTGAACAGCTGGTCACAGACGTATGGCGGCAGTTAAAGAAAGAAACCAATAAAGTTAGGCTTTCGAACTATGATTGATCCCACGACATCTTTTATTAAAATACGTAAAATTTACTATCATCCTTGAAACTTTATCCTTGAAAAAAAATGTCAAAATCATGCGACTTAAATAACTTTCAGCCAATAAAAAAGTGTCAGTGTCTGAACTTACATAAAATCAAATTTCATTAAATATGAAATTCTGATGTTTATTAGAATTTTACACCACTAAATTTGAAGCCAATGTATCTGAATTGATGCTTTTCAATTTGTATAAATATCCGTTTGAAATATGAATTCAGAGACTTAATATGCTTTGTTCTTTATAGCAATAATTGTGTACGGTTCTCGAAAGATTCAGTAAATGATATCTTAGGTAATGTGAATCGTATAAAGATGGATTCCTTTTTTTTCGACTAATAAAGTTATGAAAAACACTTTTAATTTGGGCTTTCTCCGTATAAAAAATAAAGTTTTGCACACTTTCGCGAAATTTATGAGGTGCATCTCTATAGTCCACAGAAGAGTGATAATGATGATTTTAACTTCAAATACCTCGCTCGAGTTTGTTACTCACCCTTTGAGGAGCCCATTTTTAATTCTTGGACGATGCATATACTATGTTAGGTCTATCTCTAGTTTCGCAATGCGATGCTGCTTTGTGACTGCTTCCTTCGAAATAAGACCCTTCTTCATAGATTTTCAGCTATAATCTTCGGCTCATTTATTTATTGACTGACCCAAACAGAATTCCCAGTTAGAATGCATAAGTATTCTCATTTGATTTCACTATGGCATTAAATATTCGCATTTAAAGTTTTAAAATCAGTTTAAAATCAGTTTTCATTCAAATATGCAAGCAAAATATTTTAGTTCAACTTATTATAAGAATAAAATTTTTAATTCCATAATTTACGAACCATTGAGACACACGTAGACATCGTTTTGTTTTTTAGTGCTGGAAGTGTATTTTTTTTGGAGAAAATCATTTAGAAATACTTAATAAATATATATCAGTTCTTCAGTAAAATAGTACCATTAAGTTACTCTAAACAGAGGGATTAAATACGAACATATATTTTTAATTAACTTTTAAGAACCAAACGAATGCCATATATAACAGTTTAACACACTGCCTAATTTGCACATAATAGTTAACTATTTTGAAAAATTTTTCCACATGTTAAAAAAGCAAGCCATTTAAAGTAGTTATACACGTACTGTTATCATTCTAATTTATTGATTCGATATGGATATGCTATATGAACTGATCTATAATAGATTACAAAAGGCGGAGTATATAGTAATGTGAAAAATGTCTGCTTAACTGTCGAAACATAAGCAAACTCTACCTTATCAAAAAGCGTTAATCTTTCTAACTTATCATGGATATTTGAGATGCATACCATTATATAGTTTACTTAATAAGACAATACACATTTTTGATAACATTAAACGAATAATATCATGCATGATAGTTGAATAAAACATTTTATGTATATGTAGGATAATGAGCAATTTAAAAATATTGAATCTATTTATGTAGTTTAAGCACGATCTGCTATTTAAAGTATTAAATTTGTATGGGTCTTCAGGAGTATAAGCAAATAATAATTTTCAGTTACACGCAGGAGTACACTATTCATAGTCAAGTAATTTTTTGAAATTAGAGATTAAACTAAATTCATCTGACAGCTGAACGGTGACCGCACGTGTCGAATTACTGACATACCCGCCTAATGATTCAATTCCCTTATGAAGAATTGTTTTCCTTGAAAACTTGAAAATGGGAATGAAGTATTCTCATATCCATATTTCTTCATTCTCATGATCTCATGATCTGTAAAACAGCAATTACGGAACATACAAAAGCACAACGCTCTGATATTTCAATATAAACTTCTTGTCATTTTAGCTTAGTGCCACTTGACGCGCAATCCACTAAGATAACTTAATCTGCTTGCACACCTGTTAAGCTTCATTGTTCATTGAGCAAAGCAATGACCTTCATTGCTTGAAATGTTTGTATTAAGTTCTGAAAACAACATCTGCTAATTGCACTTCACACAACCACAAGATAACATGTCAAATTTCAGAGATATTTATTTTGGCTTCACTGTAATCTTAAGGGTTTAATTTCAAATGATTTTTGTGAGAAAGAGTTATAAATCTGTTATGAGAAACATTATTAATTCCGCTTTTTAAAATGTAATTATCCTCAATTCGTTTTAGTCTGAAATTAATTATTCATTTTCAAGGCATTCTGGTGGACTGCTTTCACATTTACTTACATTCGAACTTTAACACGTGAAAGGAACAGAAAAATTTCCAGTAACCAAAAATTCGATTTTCCGAAAAATTTACTCATTGATTCAGTTTCCTATGTTTTGGGATTCAGTTCGAATTATCTAACAATACTTTACGCTTGTCGAAGTTTTATACTATATGTATACTTTTACATATCGTAGATTTTCTGCTAAAGTCTACTATATAAAATAATTAAATCGCTCATGAAAACAAATTACATTATTATTGCTTTTTGAATTCCTCCCACCCCCGCCTTCCTAGAAAATAATATGCATCATTTTTCCACACTAAATTTACATTCTCCGCTTCAATCTTACCATTAATGAATAAATCTGTATGTAAAAGACTTTTGTTTTGGAATCTAAGCCTGGCATTTCAAACTGTTTGCTTTGTTCTACAACCTCCCGTGCCAGTAATTTGTAACTTTCCTATTTTGCAACTTCAGGTTCTGCCAGTTGTTTGCAATCGATGAGGTCTCTGTTATGTAATATCTTTTGTTATAAATCGTTGAGTCATTTATTTTTTTATTCAGAATATTTTCTTCCTTTATATAGAGCTCCATACTCGGAAAACTTAATAATTCTATTTTTTTAGATTTAGCTGTAGTAACCTTAGCTTCTATTAAAACTGTAAGCAAAATATTTTTTATCATGTGCGTTATTTAAGTTATCCTCGCCTTTTGCATGGCATTTACAAAACGTAATGTAATTCTATGCCACTGGACAGACAGCTAGCTGCCTTACTTGAAGCTTTAAACTTGAATTTAAAGAAGTTATCTTTTTTTAGTATCACCTAACTTGTTCTATGGTAAACTTGTGAATACTCAAAACTGGAGTTTTCATTAACCCAGTTGACTTTTTCAAAACATCGAAAATTAGATTGACAATTTGCCAACTCTAAATACCTCTCTAAATTAGCGCTTTTATCACTGAGATATTCTACACAATCCGCAAAAAGATTAATATTCAGCTGCGAAAAACTGCTGAAGGATTTTCTCGAAAAATCAAAAGGATGCTATCAACTTCGTTTCGCTTTTTGAGCCATGCTTTACGATGCATTTTTCTACACTAAAATTTGATCACTTAAAGATTGTATATGTACTAGTAGCTATTGATAGCGAAGTTAATAAAAGAATAAGTCAAATTATATTTTAGATTTATAAATATCAAAACCGTGGAGTTAAGCATGTAAACCTCGACCAATGCCTGGTTATCACTTCCCGTCAACATTACATGCTGTGGTAACTGAGGTAATAATTTCGGTCCAAAAACTCGATAATGAGTTTTCAATGAATAAGCACGAATTGAATTCCACACAACACGTTTTTACTATTTTCGCAATGATGTATATTTATATGTGACGATTATTTCGTCCACGGTACATTTTCTGTATTTATGCGGAGTTGATTATATGTTGTGTAACATTAAACAACCGGAAGTAGCACTTTACTTGAATCCCATAATAGTTTTTAATGAAAAATTATATAAAAATAGAATTCAAAATATTTTAATTTAATATTTAAGACTTCTATATCAAAGGGAAAACAACATGTAAGATTTTGGCCAAAACGGATGAACCAGAAGTAATACTGTACTTGAAGTTATCAACAGATTTTCGTGAAAATATTTATTGAGATATAATGTAAGACTTCTCATATCTCGTATTTAACACTCGTATATGCATTTGTGATGCATATAAACTCATAACTTAAAATAACCCACTAGATTTTCACTATGTATGATAAGCAATTAGTGGCACTTTACTTCGAAGTGTTAACATAGTTTCATGGAAAAATATAGAATCGCTGTGCTAAGAGTTTAATGTAAAATAATGCAGCACATTTAAAGGTTATATCTATTACATCTGGACATGATATTTAGTAGAAAAGATGGATTTTTACAAGATTATTTCATTTGCAAAGCGTCAAAACTCTTGTAATGCAGTCCTGTTACCAAAAAAAAAAATGCACTTGTTATTCTCTTGCAATGTTGATGATAACGAGGAGCAAGAGAAAATAGAAAATTCGAAAATACAATATTGCATTATTTCTTACCGATCAGGAAACCCACCACGATCACTATTCGGTGATTCCAAAAACTAACGAACATTGTTTACTGATACCTAAATATAGTGGGAATGTATTTGCAGATCATAATGAATTTAGAATTTTATTTTTCTATTTATTAGAACAACAAATTAGACTTTGTTTATAAGCGATCAAGTGGAAGTGATACTTTACTTAAATCTCGTTGCTATTTAAAACATGAAATTAGCAGGAGTCACTTTCTAGCCATATAAGATATTTTCATATCTACTCTCCATGCTCTGCCATTGGAATCAAAAGAGCTGTGCTGATTATTGCACATTGCAGAACACACTGCCTCTACAGAAGTGGGATATGATCACCTAAGCTATCAATACTTTGTATATGTATCCTTAATCCTTTTATCAATAACGCCTAATGTATCAACAGAGACACGTCGGCAACGCCAGCAATCGGTTAATCTGCCATACTGCTCGGATCTCGAGCTATTAAAAACACTTCAAGAATAGAAATATTATAGCCAGTCGATCGAATTGTAGCTTCAATAATGCCATTTCATTTGATAGGTCAGTCATTGAGATTTAAAGTTTAATTTATTAAATTGTAAGTGGGGTGATCATATGTCGTTTTAAAATCTCAGTGAATGTCCTAATCTTATATATGATACTGGCAATACTAAGAATTTCGCAATAAATAAAATATATATTATAATTAATATTTAATTCTATAAGGTCTTCGTATTTTATTTTATCTTCCTAATGAAATAGAAAGCGGGCCAACATTTTTAAGTTTGATGTATGATTCAGTTTTATTCCTATAACGAAATTTAAAGGAAGCCTTTAAAATATCACGCTAACTCTCACAAAACTTAGTTCTATTTTGAAAGCATTTCCACGACTATATTGTGATCCTGGGAATTTTTGTATGAAAGTAATTGTTTGTTTAAAACTTAAATGTGAAAAGCGAAGTCTCCGCATGAGTGGAAAATCCCTTTCTAGTTTCGGAAGCCATTATTGATTTGTATGATACTTTAAAGAAAGGAAATCTCTTTCTTAGACACCATTGATCTATACAGGATCAAGAATATCTCTGAATTTATTTTCCTTAGATATTAAAAAGAAAATCGAATTCAAGTAACAAGCGCCTGAAAGATAATCATGCTTTTAAAGGCTTAGGACTCTTTTCCTTCAATAGCACTACAGAAACAGTGGGAGTTGATAAACAATATAATTTAATTCTCTGCTATGAAAGCCTACTGATATGTCTTCTTTCTCCAGTCTTAAAAGGGTTGAGAAATACTGCCATATAATGCAGAGCTTTAACATAAAATTTAAATTCGGATTTGTTGCTAATTTCTCCTTCAAAAAAGTCCTGAACACGTTTTCATTCAATTTTGTAATTATTTCTTAAATTTTAGTATTTGTTATTGTTTGTTTATTTTAATAGTATTGTAATATCACGCTTGAGCACAATATTTTACATGTGAATTCCTTTTTCAAAAACCTTTGGGAGATATAAGTTCAATTATTAGATTAACCCTCTTTTCTGAACAAAACATATTTAGCATTTCATGAACACGAGCATATTCTGAAAACTTAGTGAATTTTTAGATATTTTGCAATGTAGAAATTTGCCATTCTATTTTCTGGAAAAACTAAATATGGCTATGGGTAAAGAAACTATTTTCAAAATTTTGAGTATCAAAACCAAAAGTCTATATTCTGATTTTAAATATATGCTATTAATTCCGAGGAGTTATAGTTTTAAATATCTAGTATTAAGTGAGGGAAAATATATTTTCTTATTTTAAATAGATGGTGTTAACGCTGGGAAAAAATAGTTTATATTAGAAGAATTTCAGTCTTTTTTGTTCCTCAAAATTGTAAAACAAATAAAATACTTAAATGTTATTTTTGTAAGAGGAATTAATATTTATTATAATTTTATGAATTTATTTATTTCTTAACAAATTACGTCTGGAATATGATGAGTATCAGTCGCATAATAATTGAATTGCTTATAAGGATTATAACAATTATTGATCTAACTAAACGTATTAAGTCATAACTTGCTAAGCCTTAGCATTTTATTAAGGCAGAATGTTACTGAAACTCTCAAGAAATAACAGGCTAATTATTTTGATTTGAATTTGAAGCCTGAAGCTTATGCTGTTTATTTTCTTAATAAGTAAACACACCATTCTCTGAATATTGAAGTTAACCCGTTCATTGAAACAAAATAATTTAATTTATTCTCTAATGTTATCTTCCAAAGATTGTGTGTTTAGCTTTTGCTGGTTTAGAAAGCGTACAATATTTTTAGTATGTAATTTCGATTTTCTTGAATTTATTTTTACTTAACCTTTTATTTACTTTTTGAGTGCATTTAGGAATTAAAACAAATGCAGTTAACGTTGACTATTGACATAAATAATAATAATTCAAGTCTTAGTGTTTTAGTCACTTGATAAATTCGTGTATTAACTTGGATATTTCAAAAGACTTAGCAGAACAAATGACATTTTTACAATAACTCTTTTTACAATATACGATCCGCATGGAGTTCTTATCTGTTATAATAACATATTCAGATTCATTCATTCTCTTATACCTATGTTTTGCACTATATTTCGCTAGTATTTCTCTTACGAGGATAAGAAACACACTTTCATCTATATACTTTAAAATACCATTTTTAGAAGCTGATTCTTTTATTCCATCAGTAAAAATGTAACAAATATTGATTCAATAACTGTACAGAAAGACATACGTGCAGATGTAGATTTTGATTTTGGAAAACTCAAATAGGAAGCAATGAAAGAAACTAAAATGTATCAATCGAATAATTATAGAGAAAAATATGCCTTTAGCTGCAAATTATTGCTACGGACAGCGCTGATATTGATTTACTGTATTTTAGAATTTAATACACATTAATGGAAGTATCTCAATTGATTTTTAACATAGATTAAATAGAATATTTGTTTGAAAGTTCACTAACCCTAATAGATAAAATGCGAATCTGTAATCTATGATGAAACACTCTCACATTTTGAATCAGAATTCCATAGCAACAATGAGAATACGAAAACATATTTCATTCTGCTGTTAAAAAATAAATATATAATCAGTCTTAAAGCTACGTAAGATTTGTAAAATATAGGAATAAAGCTTACTGCCTAGAGCTTTCAATTCGGGTGCCGACGCATCGTAAGAGATGACCCTACAATAAACTGTTGTAAGCAAAGTGAACAAAACGCAAATAGAAATTTTCATGTTTGCAGTTAACAAGTTCTTCTCACAAAAGACCTCAACTTAATGAGACGTTTCCTAAGTTTTTATGGAGGGAAACAAACGCCTGATAAAAAGAGAATGTATGATAAAAATCTGTTTACGTGGAATTTTCAAGATAACTCTTTAGAAGAAACAATTATCTTGTTGCACACCTGTTTAGAACTTTAATAAATTAGATCCTAAAAGTATATTAATACAGCAACACGTCTGTAATAAATGAAGATTTTTATTTTTTTAAACAGAGCTTTTTAATCATTGCATAAAATGTCCGAAGTTTGCTGCGTCATGTGTATTTTTCTGACCAAAGCTTTCAAATTGTTGAGAAGCTGAGAAAATGTTGCGGATTCATATATACATATAATTTATACTTTATTTTCGTGCCTTTAATTATATAAGCAATACAAGTAGAGATTTTCTTTTTCCCTTGAGATACCAATGAAGATGTTGTTCGCTTGTCAAGTAATTGAAAGAAATATATTTATAAATAATGGATTTGCGGAAAAAAATAGGCACGTTGAATAATAAAAACAAATTTACGAAATCTGTAAGAATAACAGGAAATAAATGCATATAAAAAGCAGGCAAAGAGTAATGTCTTTATTAAAGATTACACGAACTTATAGCCAGCGTTATCTCAATGAAATTACTCATATGAATGTAAAGTTTACCGGAATTAAAGGGCTGCATTTTGCTATCTCTCGGGAGGGGTTTTGCCTTCAAAACGAGTTATCTCATTTATATAGATCTTATCCACAGAAGTATTCCTTTCAACTTATTTGTAAAAACTGCTCCGATTTTCTTGAAACATACATATTAATATGCTGCAGAGATTTGATAGTTAGTAAGCTTCTTATGTATTTTAGGTCCGGATATAGATTCTGTGTTAGGCTGTGTAAGCTGATGAACAGCTTGCAGTTTTTTCGGAAGTAATCTTGGATCGTTGATCAAAGTATAAAAGATTATGTAATAAAATTAAATTCTTTGTTAGTTTGCTTATATTATTATAATAAAATCAAATAAATGTGTAGATAAAACTAAAATAACATTTAACTTAAATGAAATGTATTGGCAAATAATAGGATAGAAAAGGCTCTTCTATTCGGATTTTTTTGCAAATAAAAGCTATCGAAATTACGTACGTAAACATTATCGACAAAACTTAAGTTCTTTTTAAATAGACTTTTCCTTTATTATAATTTTTAAAATTTATGTGAGATATGGCATATTCTTGAATAAAGTTCAAATAAAATTTTAACTCTGATGTAATTTACCTTAAATGATTATGCAACCTGTCTGAAGCAGAATGTATGCTGGAATACGGAAAATGTAATTTACAATGAAAAATATCTATCTATCTTCTACATAGAAGACACCTTGAAAACACTGCTGATGAACAATTTTTGCACGTCACAAAATGTGTAACTTTATACATTTAATAATAAAATCTTTATGCTCTGAAAATGATAAATACTATAGTTCTGAGTTCATTGTTTTAAACCTAAATAGAAAAAACGGTTTTGAAGTTTCATTGTGAGACACCAATCATTTAAACACGTCACCCCTTAAATTACGTTACGACATTTCTATTAGCTTTTCGATTGCTGAAAACATACAAATTGAGTAAAAAGTTGGGCCTTTAGTCATTTAAGTATGGGTAAATAACCACATATAATGTAAAGTACAGCGTTAATTCCATACATTAAAAAAGGAAAAAAAGAAAAGAATGAAATAAAATAACCAAAAATATGTTATAATATCTAGGAAAATTCTCAGATGCCGGATGCCATCTACATCAAATTCAATAATCTGCCCGAAGTTCTTTCATACATATATGATTTAATATTAGGCATTACCTGAAAATGAACGTAAATGGAAAGCGCATAATTGATGGAAAATCAATAAAACGTATTTTCAGGTTTGTTTACCTAAAAAATAGAAGTAAACGATAAAAACAGTTTACAAAAACCATACACTATTCATGTAGCTTAATTTAAGTTAATATATACCAGGGCCGGAACGAAGGTGAAGCAGGTGAGGCACTTGCCTCAGGTGAACAAATAGAAGGGGCTCCAAATTAGGTATTCGATCAAAAATTCAGAAATTTATTTTTAAAACTTATTATTTTTAACTTTTAATTTCGGAATACAACAGTGACTATTAAAAGAAGTTTGTGTTATAGACAATCCAGCTAAAAAAAAAAAAAAAAGAAAAAAGAAAAACTAATAGCATTATTTATTCTCAAAAGACATGAACTTTCACAGTAGTCTGTATGGTATTTTTTAACATTAAAATTTGCTATTGAAAGTAGCTTTAAGATTTACTTAAGCTCTTAGTCATAACAAACTTGCCAAAGTCCACTACCTGAACAGAGACGGCTACACAACTCCTGAGTTTTGCAATTTTATAAACGCCTTCTGGAATAGTATCCAAAGAATAAACAAGGTTGATTGGAAATAAAATGTACGATAATATTGCACTTTTAAATTAATTATTAATTTAATTTAACTTTAATTTAAAATCTGAATCCTCTTTGCAATTTCTTTTTTTTTTTCTCTTTTTTCTTCTCCAAAATAACCGCTTCGACAAATTCAAGTATGTTAATATTTTTGGCACTGTACAGAGGATTTATAATTATTTTGTATCCTTAGTAAGTAGATGGGATGCACTTATGATCGTTTTGAAAACAACATTAAAAGGTCATACGGATACGCAATGGTCATCAAAAGCATATGCTGTTAAAGAATTAGATCTATAAATAACAGAAGTACGTACATAGATTATTGAGAGATATGACATTAAATCACAAATCTTTGCAATGGGCTGAAAATAATAGCATTTTGAAATAAATCAATTAAAAATTTTTATGTTTGTTATCTGCTTGGAATTTAATATTTCAAGAAATCGAAAATGTAAATAAAGCCTTGCAGTCAAAAACTATAACTTCTATAAATCCACACGCTTAATAGAAGTGCATGTCTTTCATTACAGGAAATTAGAGAAAACATTTCTCAATGAATTTTTGAAAAATGTAAAACTTCAGCTTTACAGATGAATGTATCATCAGAATTTGAAGGGAAACGGAAACGAAGAGTTATTAAATCAAATTGTGAGGAATCAATCGATATAAATCGTAGTTTTTCAGAAAAAAATATTTTTATAGAAATTGAAGAAGTGTTCCACGTTTTAATTTCACAACTGAAATGACGATACTAAAAGTTAAATGAAATCTCTTCCGATTTTCAGTTTCTAACTGGTGAACAATAAATGTCATTAGATTTAAGTAATTAAAAGGCAGCAGCTTATAACTTAAATATCTGAATGATATGAAAGCTGGGAGAATTCAGCCAGAAATACCTAGTTTTAAAAACCATGCTATTTCAATAAATCCGGACACTAAAGCAGCTACCAGCTTAGAACTTTAAAAAATAATTTACGATTATAATTTAGTTCAGTTCTATCCCAATTTGGAAGCAGCGTTAAGAATTTTTTTAACGTTGCCAGTTACTGTAGCTAGTGGCGAAAGAAGCTTTAGCAAACTTAAAATTATAATGAACTATATGAGACTTACAGTAGGCCAAGGAAAATTTTCAAACATGGCTATTCTCTCTATAGAACATGCGTCGAGTAATCAAATAGATTTTGAAAAAATTATTCATGATTTTGCTTCTTTAAAAGCAAGAAAAATTAAATTATAAATATGATTGAAACGTTTATGCCATAAATTTTTGAGTAGATGTTTTATTTATACTTAATATTATTTGCCATTTATCAAAAAGCGTATTTTAATGATTTCCATTTCAAAATTGTTAATCGTTATATCGTATTTTGTGGAATTTACATAGTTGTAATTAAATATTACTGTAAGAGTTATTGTATTTTCCCTAGAAATAATTACTTTTAATGAGCATAAAATATATATAAATATAGTTAACTTCTTCTATATGTATATATATTAAATACATAAAGTAAGAAAATTAGAACTAATGTATCACAAAGACGAAACGTTTTCAAATTCATAATTAATAAATTTCAAATAATCTAATAAATGTAAAATCCAAAACCTTTGAACAATCAATATTGTATAATGTTATGTTTTCGAACATCATTTAGTATTATTAATTTATTTCACCCCCCACAAAAAGGTAAATAAATAATCTTGCATTGTATACAGGGGCGCACATTTACCGCTTTGTCTCAGGTGAAAAACTATGTAGGCACGGCTCTGATATATATATTGGACTATTTTACAAATGCATTAAAATTTCTTACTGAATATTTTGAAAAGGTAATTTTCCTAATAATACTAGAGCTCTACCTCATTTTTCACAAGAACACTGTAATTTAGGAAGGAACTGGTAACTCAGCGGGAGAAATTTATAGCTAAACCTGTAACTGAAGCGTTGGTTTAGTTTATTTTGTTATGGCAAAGATAGGGGCATTTGCTTAAGTGAAGAGATGCTTTCGGTGAGAACATTCTAAGGGAAACTGACTCTTATCTACGTTGCACATGAGAAAAACCACGAAAACGTTTCAGCAACAAGCCCGTTCTCATGGATTTGAGCCCAGGCTGAACTAACAGTGTTCGGCGAATTTGCCGCTCAGTTGCTAGGAAGATCACATACAGGTAAGCTAGGAAGTTAATTTATTAGATACCACTTAACGTCATCTGTAATAGAAATATGTATTCTATTTGAAGCCAGGTAATGTCATAATACTGATTGTTTACTAGTACCTAAGACGTCTAAAAACAATTGTATTGGGTATGTTGATTGCACTGTAGGCTTTGTTCAGTGTTAAGGTCATTTTAATTACAGAAAATTATTTTCATCTAAAAAAATATCGTTTCTTACTTCAGATTAGTGAATGAATTCTGGAAAAAGCATCTGTAAGGATGATAATCTGTTAAAACTGGACTTCAGTTACCATCACATAGTTAAATATTCTCTGAAATTATGAATGAATGTTTCATAATTAGAAACATTCAGTAAATTTGGAAAATTAAAACTACCAGAGATATAAGACCACGAATACATTCC